CACCGATCGCACCTCAACCCCCCCCCCCCCCCCGGAAAACCTGGAAAGTTGTACACAGGTCAGGGGATTACATATATCCTTTATTTTCCCTTTTTTTCCTTCAGAATAGAAAAAATAAGTTCTATATTTACCTTTAGATGTTCAGAGAACTATGTGGAGTGTGTGTATGGATGTTTTTCATCATCCTAATTGCTATGGGTGGATCTGGATAAATCTCATTGTTATGAAATTATTTTTAAGTGCAATTTTGAAAAAGAAAAGAGCATTGGCTTTCGATGTATTATGCCAGATCCCATTGTGGTGTGGTTTTGATGGGGAGAGGGATTTGCCTCTTCCTGTAGCCTCATCAGCACTCCAAATTGTAAAAGAGAAGATGCAAGAATAAAATATACACATTTATTTAATTTTGAGATTAGAATCTTTTACTAAGGTAACTGCAGGAATTTCTAGAGTTTCATGAAGACATACTTTGTAATCATGGCAGACATCCTTTGGCTACTGATGGCTCATACTTACTGGTGTGCTTGTGGAAAATGGACTCGTGGTGCTCCAAGATTTATTTTTCTTCCATCTCTGTCTTTTTGCTGAGGATGAAGCTGAACTGGGAACTGTTAGGTGTGATACTGAAAATGCATGTGAGATTTGGCCATTCATCCCTCCCATGTTTTCTAGATTCCTATTGCATCACATGTAGGAATTGATATTCATGTCTTTTTTTCTTTCTCCTTTATATCCTCTTTGATTCCTTTATGGTTAGGTGACTTCAGGGTACAGCATTCAGATACTTGGAGTGGCAGTCTAATCTTCTTTTGTGTTCCTTGTTGACACTGTTACTACAAAGCAGAAAGCAACTTTTCACACACAGCTGCTCAGGGGTGTTTGAGTTGGAACGCCAGCTGTACTGTTGGCTTTTACAAGGCCTCCAGGTGTTTTTCCCAGGAATTCAGATAAAATAAAATCTGATTCAATGGAAAGACAAGAGAATAACTTTGGCCAAGCGAAGTGGGAGATCAAGAATTCTTGCACCTGTTTTGACATAAAATGTTATTCCCCTGCAGCTTGTTTGTGCCTGTCGTGAACCTTGAGAAGATTCCCAGCCTCCCAAAGTCAGATGGGGAGGGAGTCAAGGTGCCCCCCAAACCTCCTGATTCTACTGTCCCCAGACAGTCTTCTGCCAGCTCAAAAGAGAACCCGGGGAAGCCCTCCACTGTCGTACCACCAAAAGAACCCGCAGCATCAGCCAAAGGAGGCGGCAGTTCCACCATGCCTGCTGATGGCTTCAGCAGGAAACTGGAGAATGCTCCCACTTTGAGTGAGAAAGAGCTGGGTGCTGTGAAAACTCTGAAGAAGATGCCCCGTGAGTCCCATTTTTCTTATTGTATGTCCTTGTACGTGGTGGTTCTGGGGCCAGTAGGCAAGGCTCTAGGGACCTGCTGTTCTGATCCATTCCATAAAGGGGTCTTTCAAGCTATTGGAACTATAAGAGTAAAGGCTGGTAATATTTCTTCACACAGCATTGTTTTACAGTATTTGCCAATTAGGAGTTTGGGTGTCCAGGCATGCTTAGGCATGCTGTAGTTATGTGTTGTCTGACATATGATGACCTTATGAATGAGTGAACTCCAAAACCTCCTGTCCTCAACAGCCCTGTTTAGCGCTGTCAGACTCAGGCCTGTTGCTTCCTTTACGGAGTCAATCCATCTCATGTTTGGTCTTCCTTTTTTCCTGCTGCCTTCAACTTTTCCTAGCACTGTTGTCTTTTTCATTGATCACATGAAATTTAACATTCCTTGACTCTGTACTGGGACACTCTTTGCGTTGATCTCCTGTTTGTGCTAAGGAAGATTGGATGGAGACCCTGTGTGACTCTGTACTTCTTGAAAGGTAGAAGAGAACTGAGCAGGAGAAGATTCCAGCTTACAACTTCATAGTATCATCCCAAGTGTATTTCTCTGCTTGCTCATTTTGTAAAAGAAAAGAGGCCGTATTAGGAATTGAAGGTATGCACCAAAGCACCCTTCTGTGTGACTGACTGGCCATTCATCAGAGTTGTGCACTGAAAAGGAGCAGGCAGACACTGTGTAGTAGAGCTGCTTCCACCCAGCCGCCCCGCTGGTCTAAAAAGATTGCATGATACTTTTTTACAATTATGCTTTGTGTGGGATGTTCAAGAGGGAAGTGGGTTCATAAGGGCTGTTCAAACCTTCAAGTTTGCTTAAGCAGGGTTGTGGTGGGTGGGCATTAGAAAGGCCTTTCTTGCATGTTCTTTTTGTTTCCAATCGCAAAAGATTTTACTTATCAACACAATATATTTATTATTCATTTATTTAATCAATTGTCACACTTATATTGTGCCTTTCCTGCAATGAGAACAGGTTGGTGTTCCTGGTTCTTCACTTCCCAACATGCTGTTCACAACAACCCTGTGAAGTAGAACAGACTGAGAGTCACAGTGACTTTTGTAGCTCATTGGGAACTTGAAGGTAGATCTGTGAACTCCCACTCACATTCCAGCCTCTGTGTCACACTGGATCTCACTATTTTGGCCACAGTTCCAGATCTGAATGAGAAGAGTGCCCGTCAGATCTGCAGTGTTGCCCAGAAACAGTGCTGCATAAGTGTAGGCTGCCTCAACATGAAGCAAAATGCAGCAAGAAAATAAATGTTGTGCAAATTTTGATAAGTTGTGCAAAACTGTTTTCAACATTGCCTCTGCTGACCTGCCAGTAAGAGTTGGAATTTTTTTAAAAACAGAGGCATTTTAAAGAAAGACTTGTCTCAAAGAATAGAATAGAAGCTGAAACACAGGGAGGAAAGACATGTAATCTGGCACCAGAATGAGTGATGGGACTGTGTGTGTTGAAGTTAGCTTTTCCTTTTGCATCTAATTCTGTGTTTGTCCCTGCAGGGAAAGAATGCGATTTAAACAGACAGTGTGGGGTGGTGAACCCAGAAACCAAGAAGGTTTGCACTCGATTACTAACCTGCAAGGTATAATGTTACATATGAACCTGCTTGGTGTGGGTGTGATGGAGTGGGAAAGAGAATAAAAGAGTATGAGAAGAAGCATTTCCTCACTCCTCCTTGCAGAGCCCTGCCATGTCTCTTCAACAGGTCTGTCTCCTTTGGCTTTAACGCTGGGTCACAACAGGGAAAATTATCAGGCAAAGTTTGCCAGTTTATCTCAATGCTGGGAGATGTTTCATCTGCTTAAGAGACATGGAAGTAGAATTCCAAATGTGCTGAGTAGTCCCATGTTTTATAGAGTTGCACGCCTCTAGCTGGAGTGTCCATATTTTCCACAATGTTTCTGACAGGCCTTCCTGTATAGCCACTTGCCTGTTCTGAACTTTGGCTCAGTTCTGGGTGACAGTGACCCTTTGTACAGTTCATGCATGTTCCTGAGCTTGATAGGCTGGCTGTTCTTTTCTGAAGGGGTTTGAATTATTGGGAACAAGCTTTTGAGGAAAGAATTCCCATTTCTCTGCAGCCAGAGGTGTGTGTGCCTCTGTGAAGCCTGCCTTCCCACTGTGCCATAGAATTAGAGTTGTAGTGCTCTTGTTCACTATCGGTTCTGTCCCATTTCCTCCTTGAAGGAAATTTCAGAAGATGGCTCTTGATTCTAATTGAGACCTCCAATGCATTGTTTCCCCCACCCCCTCAACAGCTGGTGCCATTTTCAGCCTACACTCATAGTTAAGAAGTTTCTGCTAATGTTCAGCCAAAATTTACCCTCCTGCAATGTGACCCAGTTAGATGTAATGTTGTACTCTGGGTCAGCAAAGGATAAGTCTTTGCTCTGTTCAGTGTAACAATGGATATATGCCAATACATCTGTCTACCTGCTAAGTGGCTATGTGTTAGATGGCTGTTAAAGTGGGAGGGGAGGACAGGAGGAAGCCCAGTGCAACAGCTTATGGATCTGGAAACTATAGGTTAGGTCAGTAGAAGAGGTTCTTGGGATGCAAAGTATCACTTGGTTCCATGCCACAGGATATCAGAGTTTAAATAGTCTCATCTCCACCTGCTTATTGCAACATATCTAAAGGACAGCAGAATGTAGCATGCTTATAGAGTCTCTATCCACATAGGCAGTATGTCGCTGCATACCATTTGCTAGAAAGCAACAATAACAGATAGTGGTCTGTTCAAACTGTTGAAACTCTTCAGCTCCCCAGGGATATCTGGCTCAGTACTGTGGGAAACAGCAAGATGGATGTGATGAGTGTTTGTTTTAGCCAACATCTGGATCCATAGGTTGTTATGCAGACTTCACCAGTAAAAATATGGCTTCTGCTGCTCTTTGGGCCTATAGTTTCCAGCTACTCCCCATGTACAGCATAGTGGGAGAGCAGTGCAAGGAATGTAGAAACATCCTCTGTCCCTTCCTGGTGTGTTTGACAAAAGAGTACTCCAAAAGCTCAACAATTGAATTAGATCAGAGCTCCCCTAGCCCTCTCCTGGAGCATAATCCATTGGAAGAGTCTTTTGTGCAAGCCCATTAAATAAATCAAGAGTTGAGCAACAGCCCTGCCTTGCCCCTCCTCCTCATGAGGCCAGCAGCTTGTGCAGGAGAGTTTCGCAGCAGAGGCTGTGGCTCCTGATCGTTTTCTGAATGGGGACCAAGCATCTTTGGCAGGTGGATGGCAATGTGGACTGCAGCCTTGGCCAGCATGACAGAATTCAGATGTTGACAGGTTGGACGGGCACACATTCTCTCTCCCTGCTTTAATGTGCTATGCATTGTACATTAATATTTGGCCAATTTTATTGCAGAATCCTTTTTAATATAGGCTTAAGTGGGGGATGGGCAACTTGTGGTTCTCCAGATGTTGAACTTCAGGTCCCTCCAGCTCTGGGCTGTATATCCTGTAGCCAGGGATCCATTAACGTCTGGAGAGCTATATGTTGCCCACTTCTAGGATCCACAGGTTTTCTTGTCTGGTTGCCCATTTAATGCCTGTTTGTGAGCCAAACACTTAAACATTTGCGAATTAAAAGTATCACCGTCTTCTCACAGAATTGTACCACTCTAGCATTCAAGTAGGGAATTTATTTCATGCAAGTCAGATTGCCCAAGAGACTTTGCCTTTGCTCAGAGAAGGCTTGGGAACAGACTTTCTATTTCAGGTGGTAGGTTTGTCATACTCGTCCTGCAGAAACGTGAGCAGGACTCAGCTGATGCCTTTGTCCCATTTCTCTCACCTGTGCCCTAGATCCATTCTGTGCATCAGCGTCGCGAAGTGCAGGGGCGTGCCAAAGACTTTGATGTCTTAGTGGCTGAGCTGAAGGCAAGTGCCCGGAAGGGGGAGCCCCCCAAAGACAAGAGCCCCGGGAGGAAAGAAGTGGCCCCTGAACGACTCTCGCAGGACTCTGCTTCACTGTCACAGACGTCGCTGGCCCTGCCCAATACTTCGCCTTGCCGTCTGAAGCAACCGTCCTCCCACTGTGCACTTTCCAGGTAAAGCCAGAGGGTTTGACTGTGGTGCTCTAAGGTACAAACTGCCTTGCTCACTTGTGGATGCCAGGAGGGGAGAGTCTTTAGTTACTTCATAGGAGTGGTTTCTTTGCAAAGTAGAGCTGGGAAAAGTTACTTTCTGGACCATGGTTCACAGGACCTCTCAGCCAACCTTCCTACTTCCTAGCTGTGGATGTGGTGGTGAGGGATGCAAGAGGGAGAAGGAAAGTGAGACTAGGAAGGAGGGAGAGGTGGGGAGAGCAGTGATATTGATAGTTCTCTTGGTTTCTGTTGCAAACCCAATAAATGCCTGCCTTGGGGACCTCAACCTTGTTATCTTTCTCTCTTGCATTTAGGTCTCGGGTTTCCTCAGAGAGCGACCCTGATGATCTGCCTGTCACCTCTGGAGAAGTTGACCACCAGCTCTATTCTTTCCCAGTGCCCAAGAGTGCTGGAAGGGCTTCCAGTGAAGAGAGTGAAGATGATGCAGTGGAGGATTCCCGCAAGTTGGACTGCCATTATGCAACACGACCACCGCGTCCCCAGGCAGTAAGTGGCACACTGACACACACACACACACACACACCCATGCTGACCTAGGGATTTGAACCCTCCCTGTCCTTGAGAGGAGATGATCACCCCAAAGTTTGCAAGAGGAATGCCACGGGTAGTGGAAGGTTCAACCCTCTTGCAGGCACAAAGCCACCTTCTCCAATGTCTGCCCACCAGCCTGTCTGGTTTGTCTCACCTAGTACTTTGGGTTCTAAAAGCAGCATTCCAGGATTTCCCCAGGCATGTACTTTAACTGGATAACAGTGATTAAATCCAGGTGCTTATATGTGGAAAATTTATACTGTACTACTGAATTACATGTGGGGTGTAGACTAAATTAGTTGCCTTTTAGTCCTGCTGAAATCAGTTGGATGAGTTCAGTTCACTTATTCTGGATCAATCTTCGTTGTATTTTAGATCACTTTTTCTCCATGTTGTTGCTCAAAAATGGGTGAGATGATGCGTCAGTATTCGCAGGGTGCCATTGCCAGCCCCGTAGGATTGCAGGAGATGCTCCTTGCACAATTTTGTATTCCTAACACTTTTATCTTCACTCCCCACCCCCCACCCCCCAACGTCTCCCTTTTCACCTTCCTAAACAGTTCTGCACTTTTGGAAGTAGGCTGGTGAGCCCGGGGTGTTACATGTTCAGTAGACGGATGGATCGATTCTGCTCTGCACTCAGTTCTATGCTGCAGAGACATCTCAGTTCACACATGTGGAAGTAAGTTATTCTAGGGAGATGGTAGATGAATTGCGGTATTAATTAATGCACTTTAATACTCTTGCACACAGCTACAGACATCATTGTGTATGTGCTAGGAGATTACTTTTCTACCTGTATAAAGGACAGAGTCATTTCTGGATCATATGGTGGTGTAATTTCAAGTGCTTGTTGAAACAATCAATGACTTAACAGTGCCAGTTCCTACTCTGCATGGCACCTCATGTTTATCTAGGGGGAAATGAACTAAAGAAATATGAAGACATGGTACATACAGTCTTATCTCTTTGTTTCTGTTACAAGAGGTAATTGTGGCCATTTATTTCACTAAATGTTTGCAAAGCACTCAGTTTAGTTTGAAAAAAAGGCTTTCTGGGGTCTTGAAATGTCCCGTGAAGACAAACGCCTTCTAGCTCCTTTGGTGCAATTGTCTTGTTGCTGGCAATATGATAGAGGATTCTATTGCAACACCCAGTGCTAGCTCAAAAGGGACCTCTGCCACACTGCAAACATCTTTCCTCTTATTTTGCATTTGACCCCCCCTCCAGTCACTGATGGGGGATGCTTTTTGCATGGTGTGAAAATATGCATTAATTGCATCCCCATCCATGGTTTTGATTTAACTGAACATCACATCTCCAGCTGACTGTCAGACTTGTTCTAAGCACAGGGAGAATGTGTGTGTGTGTGTGTGGGTTGCAACCAGTAGCATCTTAATTGGAAACTGGTGCCAACTGTCCTTGGGAAACTACCACAAAGTCATAGCATGTACCCAAAGTCCAGAAACATTTCTCTTCCTGGGAGTCTTCTTATCAGAGCAGACACAGTGGAACAGTGAGCTGCTATCTTGTAAATGCTTGCCAAAATTAAATTTCATGTAATTCAGTGGCACTTATTTGCAAACAAACAAGCTTAAATTACAAGTTGTGCAGCTGTAGTTGTAGCTGGAGAATGGCCACTGTATTAAGTGCATGCTGAAGTCTGGATGGGGGGAGTATACAGCAGAAGCACAAACATGGTATTCAACTGAAACTTATACAGTGGTGCCTCACATTACGATGTTAACTCGTTCCAGCGAAATCGCTGTAGAACGAAAACATCGTAAAGTGATTTTTAAAAGCCCATAGAAATGCATTAAAACCCGATTAATGCATTCCTATGGGCTTGAAACT